GCCCCGCCCAGTCTTCTGGCTGGACCGCCCAGTGGGGCGGGGCTTGTAGAGTAGGCGTCCCAGCTGCTGCTAGCCCCTGCCCCCACCCCCCGCCAGCCCCCCGAGGGAGAGCGTGTCGGTGGTCCTGGGCCAGCACTTCTTCAACCTCACGACGGACGTGACGCAGACGTTCGACATCGAGAAGTACATCCCGTATCCCCGCTACTCCGTGTTCAACCCCAGCGACCACGACCTGGGTGAGGCTGGTCCGAGATCACCCCAGGAGGCAGAGCCAGGGGCTGGGGTCCTGGGCCAACAGAGTGGGGGGGTTAGGGGGGTATGCGGAGAGTGGGACGGTGGGCCAGCCTTCCGGTGTGCGTCTTCCCGACCACTGCCCCTCTGCCCAGGGGGTGCCCCAACTGGACGGCCCCTCCGACTCCCAGAAGCCTTTGCTCTCAGCCACCTGCCCACACCTGGGCCTAGGAGCTGACCTCTGACCCCTCACCCCACCCCCATCCCAGTCCTGGTGCGCCTGAAGAAGAGAGGGGACCGCTGCGCTGTCCGCTCACAGTTCGTGCAACCCATCTGCCTGCCCGAGCCAGGCAGCCCTTTCCCTGCTGGACACAGGTGCCAGATTGCCGGCTGGGGCCACATGGATGAGAGTGAGTGGGGACAGAGGTGAGGGATGGGTGGGGGTGGGGTGGATCCATCTCCTGACCTGAACGCCCCCCACACACACCCCACAGACGTGAGTGGCTACTCCAGCTCCCTGCGGGAGGCCCTGGTCCCACTTGTCGCTGACCACAAGTGCAGCAGCCCTGAGGTGCACGGAGCAGACATCACCCCCAACATGCTCTGCGCTGGCTACTTTGACTGTAAGGCTGACGCCTGCCAGGTGAGCTTGCCCAGGCCCACCAGACGCAGGCGCCCCACATGAGGTGGTTGGTGGGGCTACCGGGAGTCTCCAACTGGGAAGAGCCTTGCCCTGGAGGGACAGCCAGGGACTGCAGGGCAAAGAGTGGCCCTCGGGCTTAGCAACAGCATCGCCAGGATGGCACTCAATTGGGTGCCAGAGAGAAGACAGACCCCTCCTCCGACAGATGGGGAGACTGAAATACAGAGAGGAGATTGGGAGGGGGCGGTCACACAGCTGGGGAACCCCCAACTGTTCAGCTTAGGGGCAGGGTTGCCATGTGACACCAGGGACCAATGATCAAACCAGTTTCACCCTCAATTCCCCGTAGTGGGCTCATTCCATCCTTGTGTTCATCCATCATCCATCCATCTACCCATCTATTCACCCACCCATCCACTCTATTCATCCATTATTCATTATCCACCTATGTATATACCTACCCCCAATCCATCCACACACACCCCGTCCCCCATCTAACCATCCACTCATTTGTCTATCCACCCCCCAAAACCTCACTGCTGTCTAGTCAATTCTGACTCATAGTGACCCCATAGGACAGGGTATAACTGCCCCTGTGGGTTTCCAAAACTATAACTCTGTACCGGAGTAGAAACCCCGGTTCTCTCTGAGAAGCGGCCGGTGGTTTCTAACTGCTGGCCTTTCAGATTGCAGCCCAATTCGTAACCACTGTCACTAATCATCCACTCACCACCAATCCACCCATCTTCCCATCCCTTCATCCATCCATCTATCCATCCATCCATCCATCCATCCATCCATCCATCCATCCATCCA